AAGTCTCAAAGGGAATTATAGACGGTTAATAAATCTGATGAACAATTTATTTTGAACTAGTTGTTAAATAATAATAATAATAATAATAATAATAATCACCGAGTCACAGATTTAAATAAATTAGATTACCAATGAAAAAATATAAATTAAATAAAATATTGTAAAATATTTCATTTTGATTTAATATTTTATCATTTTGATTTAATATTCTATAATTTTACTTTGATGATTGTTTAACTTATCGATGAAAATTAAATATGAATAAGAATAGAAATGAATAGATTTATGATCTAACCGAATAATTTTGATATTAATTGCTTATGACCTTCCAGAACTAACAAAGATTCTTTCCCACTCTCTCTCTTTCTTTATATTTGTTTGTTCATTTTGTTTCTTCGATTGAACGAAAGAAGAAGAAGCCGGACCTCTCGGATGAACTCGACAATAAAATCGAACGCCAACCAACGCCTTTAAATTATTAACGGTACGGATTTTATGCAGTCGGCCTCGATCATAAACATTCTCCCGAATTTTTTGTTTCTTTTTCTCTTCTATCTGTGTTTCTCTTTCTCTCTCACTCACTTACTCTTTCGTATTTTATTTATTTTTTTTTTTTTCACCATCTTCTCTTCCTTCTTCCTTTCCGTTTCCAGTGGCCAAGTATCACGTAATAAGAAAATAAATGAAATTTTATAGCTCGAATGTTTTTTTTTAAATTCACGAAAGAATTTTTATCGAATTCTCAACCTTTTTTTTTTTCTCTTCTTCTACGTTTTTTTTCTATTTATTTTTTGTAGATATTGTTAAAATACAGACTGTGATGTTAATAAAAATGGTATCTGGATTTGTTTCTATTTCTTTTTAATTAAACACTTTGAGTGCTGAATATTTTTAACTGAATTATTTTCTAGGAATGAAATACTTTATTATTAACGTGATCAAATTCTAATAATAAATTATATTTAATAATTACAATATTTCTTACTCAGAATATATCATTTTCATCTGACAAGAGACAACAAAAGTATTACATTATTTTACATTCATATATTGATTTAAAAAAAAATAAAAAACACACACACGTATCAACTTGGCAAACTTTTTACCAAACATAGCAATCAATATAATTTTTTCCAAATGATTGAAAATAAAHTATAACACGTTTATACATTACATACATAAATATTCATTACTTCATTTTGTATGATCAAATAAAAATAACTTGATTGTTTCTTACACGATTCAACTCTTTTCATACTTATTATCATTTTTGTTTTTTTTTTTTTGTTAAAAGAAGAAGAAGAAGAAGAAGTGCTGAATACTTTTAACTGAAGTAATTTTCTAGRAATAAAATACTTTATTATTAACGTGACCAGATTCTAATATACAATAATATAAATTATATTTAATAATTACAATATTTCTTACTCAGAATATATMATTTTCATCTGACAAAAGACAACAAAAGTATTACATTATTTTACATTCATATTTTGATAAAAAATAAACACACACTTATCAACTTTGCAAACTTTTACCAAACACATATATACGTTCATAGCAATTAATATAATTTTTTTCCAAATGATTGAAAATAAWMTATAACACGTTTATACATTACATACATAAATATTCATTATTTCATTTTGTATGATCAMATAAAAATAAYYTGATTGTTTCTTACACGATTCAACTCTTTTCATACTTATTATCATTTTTGTTTTTTTTTTTTTTTTTAAAAGAAGAAGAAGAAGAAGAAGAAAAACAACTATTCGAACCTACTCGTTTTCCCACAGCCCACTTTTCTTATTCTCACTTTAATCTTCTCGTCCCTATCATTCTCTCTCTCTCTCTCTCTCTCTCTCTCTCTCTCTCTCTGAGATTCATGCAAATGAGAAGTCGGTGAATTTAAGTAGTGGCTGATGTTCGATGCTATTAAATTCCGACTGGGTTTGAACACAAAAAGAGAGCAAAGATCAATAATCATCCTTTTTGATATCTTGGGCACCAATTGCTGATAAGAAAAACGAAAATCATTGGCCATTTCCATAAACGAGGATCGTTTTAAAAAATATTATCTTTCTCTCTCTCTCTCTCTCTCACACAGACACATACACACGTTTCTCACTTATTCTCATTCGTTTTTACTTTCATTCTATCTTGTATTTCAAATTAAAAAAGAGAAAAAGAAAAACAGAATAATAATTAAGTATCGGTCAAGAAGAAGAATAAAAAAAAAAAGAAATAAAAAAGAATATTACAAGTTCTCACGGTCAAAGTCGCATACCAGGGATCATTATAAAGATGATTTAGTATGTCGAAATCATTATGACACCTGACGGTTCATTTACATTAATCTCTTTCACTTGATGTTCACCATCATCGAAATAACGCAACAACTCAAATCCTATTGTTTGCTAATATATATATAAATATATACAGACAACACCTTTGTGATGATATCCTTCAATTATTTTTGATTTTCTCAAATCGATCTGTTCGATGGAATCCAATTTTCTCATGGATACTCATTTTCTTTCTCTTTTATAAGTCATGGTCAAAAATATTACGGTTTATTTATCATCACACACACAATGTAATAGTTAAATTTTCATTGAAAATGATTTGATTATTTATTTATTTATTTATTTCTACAAATTTCTAAATATTGATATCATTTATTAATATAATTTAATAATAATTTAGGTTTTCTATCACAAAGTATCGAATTATTTATACACTTTATTTATTCATTTTTATTTTATAAAAACTTCTCTTTTATAAGTCACGATCAAAAATATTACGGTTTATTTATCATCACACACAATGTAATAGATAAAAATATCATTGAAAATGATTTGATTATTTATTTATTTATTTCTACAAATTTCTAAATATTGATATAATTTA